CTTGCTGGAAGACTGCGGATATGTTTCCTGTTCATAAAAAGGGAAGCAAACGCGACGTAAACAACTACCGGGGAATCACATCGCTGAGTGCTGTATCAAAACTTTTTGAATTGGTTGTCATAGAGTCCCTAAATGCGCATTGCAGACAATATCTAAGTACAGATCAACACGGATTCATAACTGGGCGTTCCACAACTACGAACCTGCTGTGCCTAACGTCTTACATCACAGACAGTTTGATTGCTCGGACCCAAACGGACGTTATCTACACAGATCTTACGGCAGCCTTCGATAAGCTGAACCACGAAATTGCGATCGCTAAGCTTGATAGACTAGGGATCGGTGGAAATCTTTTGAGATGGTTTCGTTCATACCTCACGGAGCGCCAATTGACAGTAACTTTGGGAACTTGTCGCTCAGCAAGCTTCTGCGCAAAGTCCGGTATACCTCAGGGCAGCCATCTGGGACCATTGGTATTTCTCCTCTACTTCGACGATGTTCACCATGTTATCACAGAGCCACGATTATCGTTTGCAGACGATCTGAAAGTTTTTCTGCGCATCCGCTCACTCGCCGACTGCCGTTCTCTCCAAAATCAGATTGACATCTTTGCTGACTGGTGTAGTCTAAACCGACTGGTGGTCAACCCAGCTAAGTGTACAGTTATTACTTTCTCACGCAAGAAACAACCGATTATTTTCAACTACACACTACTAGGCACGACTATCGAACGGGTGCACTGCGTGAAAGACTTAGGCGTTTTTCTAGACTCAAAGCTGACATACTCACACCATATATCGTATGTCGTCGACAAAGCGTCCAGAACGCTTGGCTTTGTCTTCAAGATTACTAAGAACTTCACGGACATTTACTGCTTGAAATCGCTCTATTGCTCTCTCGTACGATCTACGTTGGAATATTGCTCTGCTGTCTGGAACCCGAACTACAATAATGGGGCCGAGCGAATTGAATCTGTTCAACGACGTTTTCTTCGCTTCGCGCTCCGTAAGCTGCCTTGGAGATACCCACTTCGTCTTCCAAGCTACGAGAATCGCTGCCAATTGATCAATATCGAGCCCTTACGTATCCGAAGAGATGTTTTCAGAGCCTTAACCGTCGCCGATACTCTGCAAGGAAGAATTGACTGCGAAGCAATTCTGCGACAAGTGAACATTAATGTTCAACCTCGATCACTACGCAACAGTCTTATGCTGAGACTTCCACTTCTTCGAACTAATTATAGCATAGGGAGCGCTATTTACGGCTTGCAGCTAGTGTTCAACCGAGTAGCGTCGATGTTCGATTTCCACTTGACACGGAATATGCTTCGCCGAAGATTCTCTGCCTTTTTTGCTGACCGAAGGCGCTTGATACCCAACAGCTAAGTGTAAAATTTAAGACTTATAAATTTTTAGTAACTTGACAATGCTTTCCAAGTTATTTTCGTTTGTAACTGTAGTAACTGTAGTATATGTATGTCGTCTGTATAATCTGTACTTTTTTACAACACATCATTGGGACTATTTCTAGTCTGTTGATGCAACCATAACAAATAAACAATGTCAAAAGGACCTGGATATTCCTTCGTCATAAATAACGGTGTCGTTGTCGTGACCATATTGGTCCACTCTCGTAATATCGCGATGTCTACTTTTTGTTTTTTTTTTTTTTGTTTTTGCTATTACCCTAGTAGAAAGGCGAAGGTTCAAATTGCCCGTCACGACGATATAGTTAAAGGGTGTAATTAACTTTACCGTAATACAAGAAGTTCGGAGCTTCTTTTTTTAGAGACCATTTCAAATGCGTGTGCACTAGAAATTATCTTACTTTCCATATAATGAAATAAGGGACTAGTACCATACTGCGTGGTGGCCTATCTTCCACTTTCCGGGAGGCTTATTTCATTGAAGGAAATGCAAAGGGCTTCCGAAATAGTCTTTTCCTTGGATAAAATTCTCTTGCAACTCAGAGAGCCAAAAGCATCTATTCCTCAGAGAAGTTGATTTCTACTTCGACTGAAGACTGGGAACGGCCTAGTACCAAACTATGTTCCAATTTCCGAGAGTCTTAAGTTGAATAGAAATATTTAGGGATAATTTTCGAAGTGTTCACATGAGAAGTACAACTACGACTGAGTAAAAGCATCGTTTATTCAGTGAATCTAGATTCTCTATATAGTAAAATTTTGGGCCTGGGTTTACCACTTAAGTCTAAGGCAAAAGAGAGATGCCAGATTTTCGTTCATCCTAGTTAGGAGTTTTTCTTTTGCTTTTCCATTAACCAAATGTAACCGTACAAGGTATATAAATTTGTTTAACTTAGCGTGGGTCTTTTTACTGATATCATTCTTCGCTTAACTAATACACAAATATATATTTTTTGGTTGCGTTTTTATTACCTAACCTCAATCGTCGCTCTGGGTCTCATGTTAGTCACCTTGCCAGTTCTATAACACGGCTTCTTGTAGTAGGTTATTTCCAACTAGACTCATAGCATTGGTCTCTCCATGCTGGAGATTCACTAGCTGAGCCGGCGCAGTTCTTTTTAACGCATAGGAGTGCATTAGGCTGCATAGACGTTAAGTCGTGAATGTTGTATTGAATGTTCTTACTCTCCTGCCACGCTCTTATTAGAAGCAAAAGGGATAGAGCCGTTATAGCACATTCGATCATTGGAAACTGTTTTTTCGGTATTCTTTGTCTATTTGTCCTTCCGAGAATAATCGTTCTGTTTTGGTTCATGTTTTTTGCTACTACTCCAAACCTATGGCCTTTGATCTACATATTTGTTTTCTATAAGGTCGATGAACTCGCTCAAGGCAAGGAACTGACAAGGTTTACTAATTTGATGATTATTATTGTTTTGTTCTTAAATTTACTGTAAGCTCAATATCGCGTTCGTAACAAAATTAATAAATAAAATCAGAAAACACGAACTCCTGACCTGCGTGCCGCGAAAGTATCAGTTTGGCTCTGTCCAGCCTCTTCTTCGTTGTAGCCTCCGTTACCCCATGAACCTTGCGTTTCTTGTACGGCTTGTATTCCAAGTCCTTCGCCATGATGGTGTGGGCAGTCCCGATCAACACGTCCAGGTCAGCAGCGGTCTTCCGGATCGAGTGGTTGATTTTTCGACGAACCCGCTCTTTTACCACCTTGATGGCTGCTGGTGTCCTCGCCGAACGCGGCCGCCCGGATCTCGCACGGTCCTTAGCCGCGCCCGTCTCCTGGTACCGACGGATGGTTGTATAGATGAAATTCTGCTTCACCCCGTGGGATTTCAACGGCCGGAATATGTCGCCGGGTCGCTCATTTCTCGCAAACAACTTTACTACGACGTCGCGGTAATCCTTCATCGTGCGCGGTAAACAAACAACAAATGAGAGCAAGTCGACACCGTGCGCGTCGGTTAGCCTATATATGAGGCTAAAACTGACACCAATACCAATACACAGACTACACATGGTGCGCACCTACACAACGATGAAAAGTTGTATTCGAACTTATTGAACACCCTGTAAGATCGATGAACTTGCTCAATAATCTAATTGCTAATTTGACCATTATTCACCCCTATTCTGTATTTCGTTTCGAACGGAATTCTCATACAAAAAAATATTTTTTTTTGTATGAGAATTTCGTTCGAAACGAAATACAGAATAGGGGTGATTATTGTTCTATTATTGATTTTACTGTTAGCTCAATATCGCTTTCGTAACACACCAGTTGGTAAAACGGTGTTCACTTCAACGGAAGAAATCCAGAAGAGTACTGTACTGCGTCCACACTGGAGATGCTCTTATACACAGATGTGCAGCACACCCACGAGATGCAGACGAACAGCAGTATGGTGTATGTTTTCTTCTCATTTCGTAACACCACAAACAAACAGACAAATCACCGTGAATACTATTGCCGTTTTTAGTGAAAGTAATTCAACGCAACTGACAGCCACAGCATGCTGTTCTGTTATGCTGATATAATCTGACGCCAAAATTTGGTAATTTTTCACTGAATTGGCAATCAGCCATATTCTTGTCCACACTGAATGCAAACGTTTCGTTGATTTCGCAGCAATCTTCATAAATTGTGCGCTAATTTTGATTGAGGTAGACCTATTGAAATTTAAAATTTATAACAACCGAGCTGGGTGCCAAATTTAAGTAGGTTCACTTGCGTGTCAATCATTATGTATTGTTTTCGGACGCGTGCGTTTTTCCTAGTTATCAAGCAAATTGAAAAAAAGAAAACTACTTTATTCACGTACAATTCAACAACAGAACAGAAAACATAGAAGCATTTCAACGTAACATTCTCGATCCTTGAATGCCTTTTTAGTTGTTAAATAGTGCATTATATCTCCGAGACAGAAAAAAAAATCAACTCTGCCAATGTTATTATACACGGCAAACTGTAAATAATTATTCCGTTGTAGTTTATATTTAGCAAAGGACCGACTTTTCTATAAACGAATCCGAATCAAACCAACTAGTACACGGCACCATTTCTACCGTTAAATGAACACAGTCGAAATGAAAAAAAAAATAAGTTTAATTAGCTAGCACCTTTGAAACGACCAGCTAGAATGAATGATGAAAATACTAATGAACAGATAACAGGGTGACGCTTGTCCGAAAAGATGTTGATAGTTACCACTGACACTGGTAATCAAATAAAACTAGTAGAATTCAAATTGAAACTTATCACATTTCGATCAATGTAGAGAACGAAATGTAATATACACAATTTTCCCGCAATTTGTTAGGCACTTTCTCGAGTAGGATAAAACACAGAAAAATAACACAACTTACCTATATATATATGAACTAAAACTAGAGAAATGGCGACAGAACTGCATACCATTATAAAAAAAAATAGCACGACGGAGCTGACTCTTGTGCAGCAGAACTTGAAATGTGAATTAAACTATCATATTTTTTAGAATTTCTGCATCAAACCGTCACTTCAACAGGACAGAAAAGAAAACCAAATATTATTATACTTTTTCAGTGTAGATTGTATCTTAATAATTTATTAATTTTCCATTTTTGTTTTTCTTAAAAAATTCATTACACAACAATTTTGATAGGCCAAACAACGTTCATAAATAGTTGGGTACTTTTGTCTCAAAGCAACATAATGTGGGGAGGGGTGGTCTCAATGTTCAAAAATATTCTGAACACAAAATTCCTACTAAGAAAAAAAACACGGCATTTTTCGTTCGTTTTTGGGATGCGAAACGGTGGTAGGTAGATTCCTTATGCTTGTAGAAGTTTGCTTATTTACTGCTTCTTGTTTTTGTTGGCACTTCGCCAGTTCTCCAACCAGTCGCATATTTGCTTTACATTGGCGTCCAGATCGGCGTCGGTGTCGCTCTGCAGCTCGACGATGATCTCGCTGCGGTAGGAGTCTTTGGCTTCATCCAGCGGAATTTGGAAAATCTCGCACTCCATGTTCGATTTGACTTTCCGGTCGTTGTAGCCCCGGGCCTGTAGCCGCTCGAACAGCAACGAAGTGGAACACCGGACCACGTAGACCGCGTGGAACCATCGTTCCGGGAAGAACTCCGAGCTGTGGTATTCCACTACGTTGCCGCCCTCCTGCATGATCGGTTCCAGGTGGTCCAGCAGTCTATCCTCATCCAGCACCGGACACTCAAACTCCTCGTCGTATTCCTCGACGAATCCATTCTGGTTGGCAACGTCCGACACGTTTTGCCATTTGAACCCGAGCTGCTCGGCCAGTCGCTTGCACAGATGCGTCTTGCCAGCGCCGGGGGTTCCTAAAAATAAACTTTCGAGTCACTTACCCAGTGCACTGATGGATATAAAGGGGAAACATGAGATTCCCCCATCCACTTTACCTGTCACGAGAATGTTGGGTAGTTTCATGCCTTCGCCGTACCGCGTACTTTCTTCTGATCTTTGCTCTGTCTCTCAAGTGGTGTTGTGATCTTTCTGGAAAAGTCCGTGTTGGCGCACCACGCACGAAAATTTCGTTCCGGCGCGACGGAATAGTTCGTCCTTTGAAACCAAAACTCAAAAGGTAGATTGCACACGGGAGTTATTAAAATGTTTTAGATTTTCCGAGGAGGTCAGATTGAACACTGCAATCCAGCCCAGCAATCAAAAAAGACAGCCCCAGTCGCCAGGCGTGCGTGTTGTTTGATGAGCTTCAGGTTTGAGATGATGAGATTTTTGTTCTCTCATCAACGTGAGACATGCGCTTGACGTTTCGAAATATTTCAGGTAGATCAATTCGAAAATAACATACACGGAGAAAAATGCGTCTAGTTTGAAACAACCAAAAATCCAGCTGAACATTGCATTAGGTTCTAAGTAACATTGATCGATTCTCTTCGTCGACTTTTTCTTTCGTTAATAACTTAAGTGCATAACCGTTTCTTGTTGTGTTTGTCGTATTACGTGCTAGATAAAAGCTTCTTTTAACGATCTGTGTGCTTAAAATATCTGGGAATGTCTTAACATGGCCGTGAAGATACTAAGAGAAAGTCGATGAAGAGAAACTGTCAATGTTACTTAGGACCTAATGGAATGTTCAGCTTGAAATATGGTTGAAGTTCAAACTAATATTCTTGTTGAATCAAAGTCAATAGAGATTTTCACGTCCGGTTGTATTGGTGCGAAATGTAAGAGCGTGTTAGTGAATATCCGAGGAAAATACATAACAAACCGATGTCAAACTCATTTTGACAGATCTACTTTTGTAATAATCGTCCTGGACGTTGACGGCCGGGTGTTTTCTCACCTGTCGAGAGAAGTTCGTGTCCAGGCTATTTGTTGGGGAAGGAATTTCAGTTTATTCGCCAGGGGTTTCCTCAGCAAAACTGACCACTTTTTTGGACAATAATTTCAACAAGATTAACTATTTTTATTTTATTGAGGAAAACTTCTTACAAACTTGGAGACAAGTCAACTAATTTTTTCACTCTGAACAAATTTTTCACTATTTTTTTCACACCCGCTTGCTTCGATGGTTATTTTGTTGCTATGGTTACGCTCAGGGGTGGCCTGACGGCTGGCGGCGCGACGACTGCGATACTGGCAATGTCAGCAACATTCTCCGGGCCAGGAACCGAGCTGATTGCCTGGAGCAGCACAACCTTGCTTACACACGGTGTTTCGCGAAAACCCATTAATGGGTATAAAAATACCCATTTCCGCTAAAAGTGCCCCTCCTCATTTAATGGGTAAACTATGGTTTACTCATAAATGGGTAAATGGGTGGTCTGTCAATAAATGGGTGTTTTTTCACCCATTTTCTTATATTGTGTTTACCGTAAAATGGGTGAAAAAATACCCATTTTTACAAATGGAGGATGCAAGCGCTCGTTGATGTAAAAATGTTTCTAAAACATTGAAAACAAATGCAGGTGTTCCGCTCAAATTTTTCACGAAACATTATAATACAAATTATCCATTGTATTGACTTATCCGTAAGCCTCTCCAACGTTTTGGATTCTAACATTTTCCGGAGATCGTCTATTTTCGCCAAATATGCTGCGGACAGTAACTGTTTGCATCGAGGTTTGCATTCCCAATGAGCCGGTGATGGAAATGAGACGATAAAATTTCGAAGTGTTTTTTCACCCATTAATGGGTAAAAAATATACCCATTATTCAACCATGAACTGATTCTTTAAATGGGTATTTTTTCACCCATTTTATGATTTCAAAATTCCCCCATTTTTTGACAGCTGCATAAATGGTTTGAAAATGGGTATTTTTTTACCCATTAATGGGTTTTCACGAAACACCGTGCAGGTCTTTTGTAGGTACACACAAAAAACAAAAATTGTTCCTTTAAGAATAACGCATGATCAAATTAAAAGTTTCCCAAATTTCGTAGTTTCAACTATGAAATTTTTCAAATGTAAAATAATTTTTTTGATTTAAAAGTGTTTCTTTCACTTTCGGCTTGTAATTTTAAAAGTTTATTTTTTAGAATAAAAGTTGTAAAATTGTCAAAAAAAAATTTCTTCCTTGCGATGTGTTTGACAGTACTGAACCTGTGTTTCCCGCCAAATTGGACATGCGAAACAAACAAACAAAACAAAAGCAGCTGTGAGAATTAGCATGAGCAGCAGCAGTTTCATGAACTTTTCCACATTTTCATCCACCGGTGCGCTTGTTTCTCTTCTGTAAGATACTAAAAATAAGATGGAGACATTCGTGGTGACGCTATGAAGTGGAAGGATTGGAAAGATCCTCCAGCTGCGGGATTTGGAGGTAAGATGATGAAATTTTCGAAGAGTTTGCTTGCCAATTTTCCTAATTGATGTGTTTTGATTTCCAGCAGCCTCGTCAGAATTACCGGAAAGGAAGGCTGCTCCCACCATCACCACCACCAGCTGTTCAGCCAACTGTATATTTGCGTAATACGCTTCCCATGCTTTGAAGTTCCATAATGCCGTGCCCTTTCAGTCAGCATCATATAAATAAACTAAAATATATTAAATTTAATATTTCTATGCTTTATTTCTTTCAAAGTAAAAAGCAATTTAATTAAAAAGATTCATATTTGAAATGAAAACATAAATCATTGCGATAAAACTGCCCATCTTTTAAATTAAATCCTTTCATAAGTCTATTTAACAAAATAGGTTTTCGTATTGACAGTTCTACAATTCGATTTGAAAGTTTCAACTTTTAAAAGTAAAAAACGAGTTACTTTTGAATTAACAGTTAGCTGACTTTTGTTTTGAAAGCTAAAGACTTTCTACCAAAAAGAACCAACGGAAACTTTTAATTCTACCAATGGATTTTTCAATTTTACTAACAATAATTTTTTGTGTGTAGACTTTGATGTCCGCACTGCAACTGTTCTCACCTTTCCATCCGGTCCTTGGTAGATCTTCTCTACAACTCCTTTCGGCCAGCTTCCTCGGTGTAGCGATTCGTCCACTATCATCACTAGATCACCGACGTGATAATCGTGGTAATTCCTGCTGTCCGGCCACTTGCAGCTTCTGATAAACTCCGGACGGAACGAGACTATCCACCTGCGCCAGAAACGATCCGCGTAAATCTGAGAATGCTTGTAGGTAGCACGACAGTTAAGATCTCGTTCATCAAAGTTATGGTCGAACTGGATTGAATTGTTTCGGCCAAGCAGCAACATGTTTGGTGTTATCGGTTCTGGGTCCAGGGGGTCATCCGGAACGTGTGTCAAAGGTCTGTTGTTTACGGTGTTCATTGCCTCGCATAAATCAGTACGCAGTCCGTAGGGTGCCTATCCCGTAACATTGCACGAAGGGCAGTCTTCAGAGAGCGTACTAAACGTTCCCAGCAACCTCCAAAATGAGGAGCACCAGGTGGAATAAACTTCCACTTAACACCTCTGACGCTCTCGAATCTTCAATCTGCGGCTGATCCAGAGTTCTCACCAGTTTCTTCAGTTCAGCATCTGCACCAGTAAAGTTGGTACCGTTGTCGGTCATGATGCACTGTGGTAAGCCACGGATGGACATGAAACAGTGGATGGCCATTATGCAGCTGCCCGTGTCTAAAGATGACACGACTTCATGTACACCTTGATGTCATACACGTGAACATTACTTTTACAGACAACGGTCCAAAATAATCAATACCCGTACATGTAAACGGCAACACGAACGGGGTTGTTCTTTCCGGTGGTAGGTTTCCCATTTGCGGAACGGTCGGTTTTGCTCTAAGCTCACGACACTTGACACAGGACATCGTGTACTTCTTTACCTGTGAGCGAATCTTCAGGATACAGTGCCGTTACTTGATATTGTTAACAACGGTCTCCATTCCTTGATGTGTGTTGGTGATATGGTACATACGAATCAGTAGAGTTGAAAACTGGTGGTTGTCAGGAAGAATCACAGGATTGTTCACTTCAAACGACTTTCCATCATCCTGCACACGACCTCGCATACAAATGATTCCGTTTTCCAGAAACGGCGAATATGTTTTCAAACGACTATTGCTTTTCACGAATCCGGTCTGCTTCAGACTGCGCAACTCTTCACAGAAAATTTGCGACTGTACCACCCTGTACCAGGCACTCTTCATCCATGTCGTTCACGGAGATTGTCAAACATCTAGGCTTTTTTACACTTTGGCAGTGCTAAAATCTTTCGCATTTGCAGGTAGTACGCAGTAGATCTAATCAAGCGATTGAAATCAGAGAACCTCTCAATATCGGGAAGGTCAACCAACTCAACTTCAACCACGGTACAACACATCGGATCCACGGAAACATCAGCAATCACTTCGGTATGGAAATTTATCATCTCAGACGAGGACATCTCTAGCGGTTCATTGTTCGGCCAATGGACACTATCCCGATACAGAAAGTCAGCACCTTTCAACCATTCCTGCATACAACCAAACTTGGAGGCAGGGATCGGGTGCTTCTCAATTTTTTGTGAGTAAAACACACGCTGTTGTGAGACTGCACTTTCATTTCCAAAGAGACGTGAAAGAGTATTTTAAATCGTGCAGCACATTTCATTCTTCTTGTGTTGGAGAGCTGCCGCTCCAACGGTGTGGAGTCTCTTTCTCTCTCTCTCTTTGATTCTCCGACAGTGTACTTTCTCTATAACTGTAGCGTTGTAGTATAGCTAGCATCAGTGCTGTCAATTTTCATATCATTCGATTGAAGATGAACCAATACAACTATTAAATCGATTCTGTGAAAAAAAATTCTCTCGTGCCCATCATTTGAAGAGCCCCTTTCTCATTCGAAGCTCATTGTCACTGTCAATTGAGTCATCCACTATCATTTGATATACGACAGTGGAGTTTGGAAGAAACCCAGAAAAATGATCCCGAACAGACAAGTCGACCCGATGTCCGATCAATATAAGGCTAATTTAAGGTCTATGTCGACCCAATGCCGTGTTGTTGTCAATGTCGGGTCAACATCGGGCTGGGGTTTAATAGAAGTCAGGTTGGTGTCGAGTTGGCTTAGATTTTTCCCCGGAATGTCGACCAGAGCTAACTCCCTTGTGAAGAAAATCACACGGCGAATGAGAACGGCCCAAATTTGAGTTTAGTTCACTCATAATCGCCAAAAGTGCAGCAACTCAGCGATGAGTAAAATTTGCCTCATGTTTTCCCAGGTTTTT